ATGAAGTTAAATTTGATGGTGATGAGTTTTTATTAATAAAATTAAAAAAAAAGATTTAAACAATAAATGATGACTGATAAATTTCTAATTGTAATTATATATATATTGATATGTATATTATTTTTGTAACTTATCCAATCTTGGTTCAAAACCTTTATTTAAAAATATTGTAAACGCGTGCAAAAATGGTCATTCAACAATTCGTGTAACAATTAAAAATAAAATAACTTTTCTCCTCCAACTATATATAATTTTTTAAACAATGGCTACTTTTATTAGAAAATTTCGTTATCAAACAGTACTTTCAAGTTTACTTCAACAAAATAGACTCCCAGTTTTTTTCAGTGCATATAATAATAATAATAATAATGCGACAAAAGTAAGCCTCCTAATATAGTTATAGAATAAATTAATAAATACACATATTTTCATGTCCTCGTAAATTTCAAAGGCTACAATTGTAACTTACCGTTTCTCAAGTTCTAGTATTATTAAATATAAATCATATGCAACAGAAGTTGGTCGATCAGATAGTGAAGATATTCATCCTCGCTTTTCAGATACTGCTGATAATAATAACAAAACATCTATGAACACTAATAACGCTGATGGTACATCTTTTCCATCTTTACCAGAATTTTCATCAGATAATAATAAAAATGCAAGATCAAAATCGGAAGAATTAACAATCAAAGATCTTTCAAATGATATTACTGATGGTGGCCAGGATTGATCCAAATCATATTATGGCTTGTCAATTCAACCTTTTTCAAAAGAGGCTACTGATATCTTGTTATTATTATTATTATTTTTATCCGTATTACATCTACTTTCATGATACGTTTTTTTATTTCTATTTTTATTTATTAATTATTTGTATAACGTCGTAATTTATTTGAAATATTAGAATTACTAATTAATTGAATTGTGTATAAGGAGCTTGAATTCAATGTACCGTAAAGTAACTTTGTTATAAGTTAATTAGTTTCGACTAAGAAAAACCAAATAAATAAAATAAACTTTTATCTTCTTTAAACAAAATTATCCGCTAATCCAAAATCAATTAGTTGATAACCTATTCATGCAAATACAAAAATAATTGTTATCACCAATTAAAACATGCTCTCCCAAATTTAATCGGTGACAACTTGATGCGAGTTGTGTGGATACTTACACCTAAGAAGATATAAAAATCAAAATTCTCAATTGAATCTACGGATTCTTTCAAATTTATTCTATAATTTAATTTTATTTTATTTTTCTTATTCTATATTTTCCTTATTTCAATTTTATTTTAATTTTATTTTATTATCTTGCGAGGTAGTTTTTATTATTTTATTTTATTACCTTTTGAGGTTAATTATTTTTTTTATTTTATTTTATTACCTTGCGAGGTAGCTTTATTTTTTTTTATTTTTCTTTTACTATCTCTTATTTCAACCTTACGAGGTTAAACATTTCTTTCTATTTCACTTAAAGAACCCTAATACAATTGAGAGAACACAACTCTGAAATAATTAAATCAGAAGTTTTCAAACATGTCTATCAACAAATCCTTAAAGGAAATATAAGGATTCTCAACTTATTAATTTAGTATATAAATATTTTGCTGAGAATCCAAATCAACTATTCAAACTACATCATCAAGAAGTAGAAAAACCATCTAGAAATCCTCACTCAAATAAGAAGTGTTATTCCTGCGGGATAAAAGGGCACATAAAAAGAAACTGCAAATTACAAGGATTAACTGAAGAAGAAGAAATAGAATTTGTATTCCGAAAACTATCAAGAAAAGAAGATTCGGAAGAAGACTTAATTAAGGAAGAATTTATATTTCGAGAAGAAGTTCCTTTCGAAGACATCTCTGACAAAGTACCATCCTTACAAGGATTGACTGAATGAATATAGATCAAGAAACAATACAACTTATACAAGGGAATGTAGAGATCCATAATCAAGTACATCAACGGTACCTAACCATAAGGAATATATCACAAGTACATAGTGACATATCTTGTGCAACTTATCATCCTATTAATCGAAACTTTTCTGTTTGATTTTTAATCTTTTGAGATTGGATAAGAGAAACACACCGAGCAATAGACTGCACCTCATATGCTATAAACACCTTTGAGCAACTATTAGTAGAGTAAGTCTTTGGACGGTTACAACAACTTGCTTTAACACTATTAGTTAATATAAGATCAGTGTCGTGACCCGAAACAGAAACTAACTGAAACCACCTGAAACTAGTTTAGGTTAGTAGTTTATGCCTTGGTTTAGTTTTAGTTTTAGTTTTCTGCTTAGTGTAAGTTCATTTTCCGAACCGTTTCGGGAAGCCAAAAGAGTTTCTGTCACAACACTGGTTTTCACCCACCATTTAAAGGAGCAATATCATTCTTTACATTACTAGAAAGATAATGTGATATTTCATAATTACCAACCACACCATTATCATGTGAAAATAGAAACATTATTCAAATCATGCTCACGGTGATCCATTTCATTTTCAATATTATCAATAATAAAATTATTTGACTTTCATTAAATTCACTTTCATCTAATCTATCTTTTATAATCAAGCATCCTTCTTTTAGTTGATTTTAATATGTTCAATCCTTTCAGAATCAAAAAATGTAATGTGTTGATAAAGTTGCAATGCTACTTGAAACAGACCAATACTTTTTCAAATTTTCCAATAATTTTCTTACAATAAAATTGGTCTAGAATAGAGATGTGCCGCGCATAGTGTGCTACGCATAAGGTTTTAGGTATATTTTTTATAGACATTTACTTATTAATAAACATTTCTAAAAAAAAATTAAATATGCCATTTACTTTCTTATTAT